TGAGGGTGTGAATGGGAGATGTCTTATTTACACGATTGCCAAAAAACAAGAGTTTACTCCATTGTGAACAAACAACTAAACAAATAAACAATTTAAAAATTAGGAAAACTCATTTATGATCATTACTTTTGAAATACTGAGTTTTTTAAATTTATCAACAGAGAGCAAAATTAAAAATACAAGTATGTCTGAACTATGTCAAAAAAACGACTAAATAATAAAAATGTACTGGAGAAGCAGCTCAACTAAAGCTGACAGTCCAGTGGAACAGGAAGACGTCATCGTGTGGTGAACTAGAGGTTCCCAGAGGAGTTTTGTCAAGAAGAACAGATGAATATGTGCAGAGTGGAGGATGGGATGGGTGGACAGGAGAGCAGAGACGGTTGAGCCTGATTAAAATTGAACATGGTGGAGGGGGCACTAAACAAGCAAGTTAACAGACACCACTTGTTTCCCAGCCGTCAGCCCAGCATACTGTACCTGGGCATCCACTGGGAAAGGTTCTATATGTTCACATTAATTAGAATGACACAAATTAAAAAGAGCACAGGATGAGCGTGCATGTCTTCGAGGAGTTTTGTCCAAGCACGTTTGTGCCCAGCACTTCTAAAACTCTTCCCCCACAAAGAAGCAGTGGATTAGCATCTCCCTATCAAATCATCCATCATTACTAGTTGGCACGCTGCTAAGCACAGAAGACAGCTTGATGGTATTACATATCTGTGGTGCTTAGTCCATCGCGTGCCAGTTCACCACTCACTAAAACAGTCATGTGGCCTGTAGTGCAATATCATACACACTTGAGAGGCCCTCATTTATTTGCTCTTGAAGCATTAGCTGCAGGGCTACACAGCATCCATTAATGCACACCATACTCTTTCTTCCTTAAATTCWCTTCCTGACTTTGTCTGTCATCTCACGTAAAACGATAAGAGTACGATAAGGGCTTCTTTCTATGCACAAATCTAAGATAAGATAAAAAAGATAAGTTTTGTTAATATTATTGCTTTAATTTTTAAT